TGTAGCTTAGGCGGTGAACACTGTTCACAGAAATTATAAAATTGCCATTCGCCAAAATTCACAAATTACTCTCAAATTTTCATAACAACTCAAAAATCTCCAAAAACAAAAGTTGTTCAAAATCAAAAGTTCTACAACTTTTCTTTTATAACCAACCCCTAATTCGGTCTACATTTTGAAATGAACTTTTAAATTCAAATATGGGACATTTAAGGAATTTCGCCTTTTTCAAATAACTTCAAATTTTACTAAACAACTTGAAAAACTCCAAAAACAAACTTTATACAACTCAACAAACCCTACAATTTTGTTTTAAGGCTCAACCCCAAAATGTGCTTCGATTTTGAAATGGGTTTTCAGGGTAGGGTTTAAATATTGAAAATAAGGGTTTTCGGAATTTCAAATCAATACAAAGATTTCAAACTTGATTCAAACAATACCAAGCAATACTTATAACATAAATGTAAACTTGTTTTAGTGAATGCATATCAAAGTTTGCAATATGACCAATGCCTTGCAATACATATGATGATATGTCCAGTTTTTAATACTTAAACACCCGGGGTGTTACACCGACACTTGGGCTGCGCCCAACACTTGGGTTGGCAACTCCATCTCGCCTGACCCCTCGGCCGTGCCTGATGCCTGGGTTGGCACCCGACGCCTCGGGTTGGCGCTCCCCTCGCTCGACCCCTTGGCCGCGCCCGACACTTGGGTTGGCGCTTCGTCGACGGCGACCCACGATCTTACACCCACCGGGTGTGCTCGTGAAACGAGTATAAACCGCCCCTTCACGACTTGACAAAAGTCCCAAAAGGGCTCGGGGGCTCCTGTCGGGTTCATAAACATGGGGTCCCCAATGGACCCGCTTCTCTGTAAAAAGCTCGGTCTAGCAAACTGCGTTGCGACAACACGCGCCTCCCGGGCCGGCCCAGATACGTAATGATAGGACGGGGCAACGATGCGGTCCCCGACCGGAAGCCCTAGTCAAGGTGGAGATACAGTCCGACTCCGACCTCCTTTTCTGACCAGGGATACGTCGGACCTCTACTCGCGACTCTTCCCCGACCGACACGGTCGGGGCCGACTGGGAATGACCGACCAGGGACGCCAGCTCGGTGAGGGCCCGAGGATCAAGCGGAGCAGATAAGGTAAGGCACTCAAGTCAACCGCAATACCGAGGACTGTACCCTGCCATACCCTGCACACCTGCAGGACGGTGCCGCTAGGCCATGCTAAACGGGCACTATGCTACCTTCCAAGCGTGTTAGAGCACAAACAATATTGTAGGCACCGACGTTTGCCGTACCAGGCGAACACGGTAGAGCCTGCCACATACGTCTGACATAAACAGTATTGTCGGCGCCGACGACCGTGTCGTACCCGACAGCGTGGGCAATAAGACTAGGTAGCACACGTATCCATTATCTCTTTGGCCATCCCCTTCAACTATAAAAGGGGATGCGCTCTCTCCTCTCGAGGGGACGTTCTCTCGGCACTAGACGTTCTCTCTGGCTCTAGACAACTTGAGCACTCGAACAACTCAACAGTTCTAGAACCCAACAGCTACACAGAGCATACGCTCCGATACTTAGCACACGTTAGAGCTCCCATCACTCTCGTCGCTTCGGTTCAGAGTTCGACCGGGCCTCTAACACCCCCCTCTCATTCGTACTGATTTTGTACCAAGACCTGAAGAAGGATTATCACCGTTTACTATTCAGCTCTGATCTGCGATGTATGATTGCTGGGCAGTATAATAACCTCCCTCCCTCCGTCACTCAAGGAAGCAAGAGGCATGCATGCATGATACATGGATGTGGACGCACGTTTCCTCCCTGAGGGAAGCAGGATGGATAAGCTCAGCGCGAGTACCAGTGCAGCGTCCAGTAACCTACTCTTTGCTGCTGACTGCTGAGACTTGCATATACATTATGTCAGTCTGAGTCGCCAGTGTCAGGTCAATGCATATATAATATCAGCAGAGTTAGTTACTTCCACAGGTACGTCTGCATATCAGTAAGTCTCGGTCTTCTTCAGTTGTTCACCAGTGTGCGCACGTCACCAAACTAGGAGCCATGATGAGTCATGACCATGACGATTGATGGCACATCATATCTATCGCAATACATACTACTAGGTGATGGTGATCTATATATCTATCTGTTCCTGTTTCCAGTAACAATCCATAGAAATATCATTGCATTGTGTCACCACCACAGACAGACGCGTATCGACGACTACTGTACGACGTCGGCAATTCCATAACTCAAGCTAGTAAACTGTTAGCGAATTTAATTAACCCGAGCCACCAATGTATTGAGTTCGGTTGGGGTCGTTATTTTCAACCTATGATCTGACCCAACTTGAAGAAACCCGACTCAAATTCAAGTAGAAAACCCCGAAAAATAGCCCAATCCAACTCGATCCGTCGGTTCGTCAGACTTAGGCCAAAGATTTTGACGCAACAATTTTTTCATGGCCTGAACCAATTTGATCAGATCTAATAATTAGAGCCGACTCCAAAGTGAGGCAACTACCAAGTGTGAAAGAAAAGCTCTGGTTTTTTCATCATTCTGTTGTAATGGCGTCCAATGTCTGAGCCAATATATATAATAAATAAATTCCCGTTGGAAAAACAATTAGGTTGTCATTTACCAAAAAGCAAGTCATATATTATGTAACAGAGTTCTGGATCCACTATCAAAGAATTCAAACTACATTTTTGTCCACATTCCTAGGTGAGCATATATCTCCTCGAATGCATATACGCGGTGCTAGTGTTACGATAATGATATGATTAAGACACTTGGACGGACGCACGCCTCGCTCACTCCCTCAGCGCTCGTGCCCGTCCCCATTCTTATCCCTTCATGTCCTGCCCCACACTCGACGACGCGGCCATCGCTGCTTCCCTGGCCGGCGGCGGCTCCTTCCCCAATCCCCAGCGGCCTCCTTCCGCACCCCGGCGGCCCCTTCCCCCACCCCGGCCCTCGACGTGGAAGCGGTGGCTGCACCGCGGCGCGCGGACCTTCTCCCCGGGCTCGAGCTCAGCGAGGCAGACCGCACAGTCCCCATCGTTCCCCGCGCCCGTGTCGACCACTACCACCGGTATCACAGCAAGCAGCAAGGAGTCGAGGCCGCGGGGCAAAGGCACCCCCACACCGTCGTCGTCGCCATCGCGGCGGTCCTTGTCGCCAGCACCGGCGATGGACAGGCTCTGAAACAGTCACCGCCGCCGACCCCCGGTGACCGGAATCGACCGGCGGAGCTTTCCCCTTCCCTATGTTGCATATGTATGTTTCAAGTGTTTCAAATATATGTTGCATTTGTTTCATTTGGATGTTGCAAGAGTAGATCGGGAAATGTTGCACATGTTGCATATGTTACGATTGTTTCATAGGCATGTTGCAAGTGTATGTTTCGAGTGTTTCAGAGGTATGAGTCATCTATGTTTTCCGGACACATATTGCAAGTGTGTTTATCTGGATGTTGCATATGTTTCACACGTACGTTGCATGTGTTTTATTTGGATTTTGCGCATGGTTGCCATGGTTTTTCAAGTGTGTTTCAGGTGTTTTTTTCAAGTGTTTTCAGAAGCATGTTTCAAGTGTTTGAACTGCTTTTAGACGTATGTTGCAACTGTTGTAGTTGGATGTTTCAAAAGTAGATCGGGTGTTGCATCTCTCCTCCCCACCTTCTGTTGCATCGACTCTCCTGGAGCCGGCAGAGCATCCATACAACGCCGCGGCCGGGTCCTTCCGAATCGGAGGCACCGCGCGCCCTTCCTCTCTTGTTGCTTGGGCGGCACGGCCCCGCACGTAGCGTGAAACGGGTGTTGTTTCTGTATGCGGGTGCCATTTTTGGAGGTGCGCCCGGACGCGTCCAGGCGTTAGGCGTACCGCTAGTGTTATCCGTATCTGCATCCAAAGATATCATCGTCGTCTGGTAAGTCTTTGCATATTGGTAGCCAAACAAATGCATCGTGCAACACACATTTACCAGCTGGCAACCGACGATGGAAAACTGCTTTGGGAGCATGCAGGTATAGTAGGTGGAAATGCAGAAAGGCAAGCATCATGTGGTGCATCACTTACACGCCATTCACCTGCCAAAGTCATTAGTCATGGTGATAATCAATAAACCTATGTACTACATCTCTATTTTAATGTGGGCGTGCATCATACTGCCAATAAAAAACACGCAAAATCAGCGGTTAGTTAGTAGTGTGCTAATCTGTTCTTATCTCATAATAAAATAAATAAATAAAAACAAATAAAAGCATGAGAAATTAGCACACACCGGACATGAGTTTGTATTCTCAGAGCACGCTTTAATTTGATCCTTTTGTCTTTAAATAAATTTAGTGAGACTTTAGATACTTTGACTAACAAAGAGAACTGAATTTGATTCTTTTTCGGACCGAATGCAACAGATAAGAGCCTCAAGCTAGGATATAGGCGCGTCGTTTTTACGCTGAGCCCCAGGAATAATATTCCTGTGTGCACCAGTCAGCGTGTCCCTACCACACGCGTCATCTCCCCGTAACTTCCGCACGAATCTCTCAGAACGATCGAGCGGCCCACGCGTCCCCGAACCACACACGTGACGCCACGCGCACGCAGCGACTTCACACGCAATACGCGCGAGTCCCCACTTCGTAAGCAAAGCGCCGAAGCTTCGCCTGCGCTTCCATTGGCCCTGAGCAAGCTCAGTTTGCTGGGGAGCTTGACGTTGACTTCAAGTCAATGCAGGCATCTCTTCTAACAGGCCGGAGCTTGGCATGGCATGCATCCTGGCGCTGGCGCCTATAAATACGTGGCCATTGCTTAAACATTCGATACAAGCTTTGCTTAGAAACAGCGTCTTAGTACGTATTATATTAGGCACGTGCTAATAATATACTACTCTGTTCTAACGTGATCTGGTATAGCATATCCATACACGTGACCAAGCTAGCTAGCCCCATCGTCTCGGAAAAATCTGTGGATCGATCGGACATGGCCACCACCACAACCGAACGACCGACGGCGGCAGCGACGGCGAGCAGTAACCAGCTGCTGCGGCTGTACCTGTCGCTGTCGACGGCGAGCAAGGTGATCGCGAAGCAGCACGGCGGCCGCGTCGGCCAGCAGCAGCACCGGTGCAAGACGTGCGGGCGCGCGTTCCCGACGTTCCAGGCGCTGGGAGGCCACCGGACGAGCCACAAGCGGCCCCTGGTGCGCGCGCACGGCCTGGACCTCCTCCTCGGCGCGCGCCCTGGCAAGGGCGCCGCTGCAGGCGCGGCCAGCGACGTGCACCGGTGCAGCACCTGTGGCGCCGTGTTCCCCACGGGGCAGGCGCTCGGCGGACACATGCGACGTCACAGAGCAGCCTTGCATGATGACGGCGAGACGACGACGAGGGTTGTTGTTAATGCCTTGTCATCTGGAGAGCTGCAGGGCGAGAGCGAGGATCATGACGCCGGTGCCATTAGGTTATTCAAGTTCATATGAACGATCACTACTACAGAATGGACCTGTTGTCCCGGGCGGTAACAGCCTTTAGTCCCGGTTACCGCGCCGGGACAACGATCCCGGGACTAAAGGTGGAACCTTCAGTCCCGGGTCATCGAGCCGGGATTAAAGAGGGACCTTTAGTCCCGGTTGGTAACACCAACCGGGACTAAAGGCCCTCCACCAAGCGAACTGGCGCAAGATTTTTTAGTCCCGGTTGGGGTTACCAACCGGGACTAATGGAATTCATTTTTAGTCCCGGTTGGTAACCCCAACCGGGACTAAAGGTTCCTTTTCTTTTTCTTTTTTTGTTTAATTTGTTTTCAGTTCAGTTAGTTACGTATTTGTTTAATATATAATATGTTTTTATGTACGTATTCTACGTTGCTAATATAAATACACGCATGCATATAATTACATCTAATTCTCATCTTGAGTATTATTATATTCGAATAAAGTATGAAACTATATATATTATAGATATATATATATATATATGTATATATACAACACTTTCATAATCTTGTTCTCGAAAATAACGATATCAATAAACATTTAATTTACATCATTTATTCCTTAAGATCAAAGTAGAACTCGCCGTTGGGATTTAGCACTTTTTCTAGAAGATATCCTGCTATTGACTCTTGAACTGCTTTCAGATGGTCTTTTTGCATGACCCTTCGTTTCAACCATTCAGTCTTGCATTTGAAATAAAAGGAAAAGTATTAATACACATATATGTATATATATTCATTTAAAAATAAATAAAAATTGATATATACGTACTCTGAGGACATCTTCAGGAGTTCTTCTTATGTGCGCAGTGATAAATTCACAAACGTAGTATCCACACAAGTTATTACCTGGTTCCTGCCGCAAACACCACTGTACGAGAAGAAGATTATTCTCATCATCTCACACGTAAATTGAAGTACGATATAGTAATTAAACACGTGGGGAAGTGTATATAGTACAACTTACTGGTATTTCAACTACATTAAGTGGTGCCTTGCAATCCTTGCGATGTTGCCGAATAAACTCTTTCCAAACCCTGTGCGACCAATAATGTACGATCGTTAATAAATTATGGCAAAGTCTATTCAATAATAGTTGTGCGCGAGAGATCGAAATTACCCCTGGATAATGTCTATCATATCTTGGTATAGTGCCCGTTCTTTTCTCAACGAGTCAAAGATTAGTAACCGACTTGAGTTTAACTCAATGACAATGAGTATCCAGTGAAAACTGCATTGGTTTATACACACACGTACATGCATATAAGTTGTATTGATATTACATAAAATGTGTAGACTACATTATTATTAACACTTACTCAAAGTTGTACGGGAAAAGTATTGTTGTCTTGTCGTGCTGCTTCACGAAGAACTTCATGATATTCGTCTGTGCTTCAGATACCCAGTGGTCCTTGACAATAATATCGGTTTTGAATACGATATAAGGATCAATGAAGCCAACACTGGTGTCTTGTATTCTTTGGAGCTCTGACATCTGGAATCTATATATAAATATAAGTTACATGTGAGGATAATTATATACACGGTTACGCATGGAAGTGAGTTTATTAAATAAAAGTAAGAATCACTTACAAACAAAAGGAGCTCATGATTGATTTGTCAGAGCGTCCAAGTGGAATAGTTGATGCAATTCTTTGAAACTAATATGTAAGATGTCATCGCCACGGAAGTAATGATGGTCTCTAAATCTGACAAAGATCCACTGCTCACCCCTGCCACACGCCTGCATGTACCACTTGTTGAGCAAGTACATTTGCGTACCCAATTCATTGAGAGCGAGGAGGTTGTACAGACTTTTGCCATATTTATAAGTCTTCCGGTATCAACTTCCGTGTTCGGATTGGAGCTTTGCCCGTCAATTGATCCAAGGTTAAACCAGTATCTTTAAAAAAGCATTAAGGGCTTGAACCGACACTTCTCGAGTTATGCGGTCGATAGACTTCTATATTGGAACCATATTCATTAGCAACAACAAGATTTTACATTGGTTGCTTCTGTTGTCCGAGCTGTGGGACATCCTTCCCTAATGCTCTTTTCCTTTTCTTATCTGCATCATGTGACTTCACGAGGGAGCGGTCATAGTCGATAGTGGCGAAGGCTTACGAAGTTCAATCATCTTTTTCTTGTGAGCATCGACCTTCCCGCCAAAGCACATCTCGTGGTATGTAAAAGTACGGCTTCTCCTTAAGCTTTGCTTGACTCTTGTTTTGATATCTATAAAAAATCTTTTACTTTTTTGTCTTCTTCATTTGCTATTTGCTCATCGGTCTTTTCAAGAAGTATTTCTTGAGAAATAACTCTTTTTCTTGGGGTCTTCTTTGCCTTGGGACCTTAGACGCGTCTTTGTAGTGCGTCATTTGTGGAGGGGTGGGGGCGGTGTTGGAGATCGGCGTGGAGGCGATGAGGCCGGTGTTGGTGGAGACCGGCGTGGAGACGTTGGAGATCGTTGTGGAGGCGGTGGGGCCGGTGTAGGAGTTGGAGATCGTTGTGGAGGCGATGGGGCGGTGTAGGAGTTGGCGATCGCCGTGGGGATGAAGTCGTCTCGCCCCATGACTGTTTGTGATGAGATGGGGAATGAATGATTAGGCTAGGTGGGAGAGACCCTGCTATAAAAACAATTTGTGTGTCAATTATTTTTGAAGCCAATAGAAAATTAATGGAAAATAATATTTCATTCACTTTCATTCGTACCTAGGGTGAGGTAGGGAAGCGGTGGCGCCTGGGAATGATGATGAAGCGTTTGCGCCATTGAATAAATGTCTTCTCTGTTTCTCCTAGTGTCTTCTCCCCATCACCGCCTTCAATGTCAAGAGGAACATTGTTGTAACCTTTGAGCACTCTATCGACCGAGAGGCGCTAGCATATCCAAAGTTGAATAATCGACCCATGGATTCTTGGTGTCTTCGTTCGGTCTATTGGAGATACAACCCGACAGACCACCATGATTGATGCATTACCATCCGGAATGTGCAGCTCACATTTTGTTAGAGGCTCGGTAATGTCATCAACGAGGAAGCGCAACCAAGCGTCGTCTTGAATAATCGGCAGCTCCGTAGAAGCACAATCGCTTTTCATCGACCAACGGGGCTAATGGTGACTCCGGCGTTGATTGCGATTGCATTTGACTCATTGCTAGCTGCACTTGCCTCTTGATCTCCTCCTGCATTCTTGCCTCAAGAGATTTTTCTCGTTCACGTGATTCAAGCAATGCTTGTCGTGACTCATCAACAAATTGCTCCAATGCACGAATTGTTCGCCTCCTCATCCTTCTTTCTCTCTGGCGGCTTCAGAGGTATCCTTGTCTGCATTGGGAATGCGTGTAGCCACGGAACCGCCCCCATAGCCTCTTGTTCGACCACCGTGTTCGGATTCTCTAGGGCATATGTCAATTCATCCTTCTCTCTCTTGGGCTTGAAAACACCACTATCGCCTTCTTCCCTAGCACGAGCTAGTCTCTCGTGTTGCTCTCTCAATTTTTGGCGAAAATTAGCTTGCCGATTAATCCGGGTCTAGGCTTCCCCATGAGCGTAGAACCAATTCTTTGCAGCGTTGAGGCCAGTTCTTTTCTATTGTTTCGTGTATGATTCCTTGGCAGTAATCTCGCTTCTAGGTTCGCCACTTGAATAGCACTCCTATAACCACCGATCCCATGCGATGATGGTATTGCTTTTTGTCGGGCATTACGCCGATTCCTCATCATATCGTTCCTCTTTGTCTTGAGATGTCTTGTATTCTCTGAAGGCATCCCAATGGGACTCAACTTGACAAACGCCTTAGCATTGAAATTGGCGTAGCATTCTTCAAGATAAACTTTTTATACAATGTCTTCTTCCAACTCGGAACAATGTTGCCATCTTCTTCATTGTCCAATCCCTCACTAGCTCCTTCAAAGCATCATCGCTTGTAATGTGAAATCTTTGAGTGATATCTCTCCAAGCTAGGTTCTTATCACGATCGGATACAAAACTAACATTAGGAGCGGATATCTTACGCTTCCATTCACGAGCACTAATCGGGATCCTATCCTTACAATGAACCCACATTGATTGACATATGTCCGAGCATGTGGTCCCAATGGTTTGCCGGTGTCGGTGTTTAATTTCGATATTATGAAACGGCCCTCTAATGGCTTTTTTGGCCTCGGACTTTCCTACTTTTGTCGGTGGTTGATGTAGATCCAGAGACCGGCTACATGAGTAGAAACACAACGATTAACAACAAATATACGACGCATGCATCTATAAGAGATGATAGATAATCGAATATACCTCGCCAAGATTTTCTTCTTGCGACAATTTGTTGATCTTCAACCACCGCATATTCGGGATATCCTCATAATCAAAGAAAAGATCTTGACTCGTGTCATCTACATCCACATTGGTGCGGCGTTGATAATATCCGCCATTATGTCATCACTCAAGTTATCATCCGAGCAGACCATTTGTATCTTCAAGATAACACATAGATAGAATTATTATGGTACATAACATAAGTACATGTGATAACACATATAGAATTACTAAATCCAATTAAATATAATAACACATAATATTTCATAAGGATAAACATAAGAATTACATAAGGTATAGGCTTTGGAATCGAATCAAAAACACTTTCGATCCAAAAACATGAAAATAAGTACATGTATATATATACACATAGAATGATACAATATATTTTCTCTCTCTCTCAACACATAGAAATAAGTGCATATGTCTATATCTCTAGATATATGCATGTGATAACACATAGAATGTCTCTCTAAATGCAATTTTCTCTCTCTCTCAACTTATGAAAATAAGTACATGTATATATACATATAGAAATAATTAAGTACATATGTATACACATATAGAATCTCTCTCTAGATATATATATATATATAGATAGAATATATAATTACTAAATCCAATTAAATAAATCTAACATGAAATTAGATAAACTAGTAATAGATAATACATTTTA